TCAAGGAGCCATATTTGACAACAACAACAAAAAACAGCGTTGTATAAGGCTTATATGAAGGTAACAGGGGCTGAAGCTGTATTAGCTACATTAGCTACCTTAGCTACATTAGCTATATTAGCTATATTAGACTAATATCTAAATGACAAAGTAAAGGCTAAACACATAAAAACCATTCATGATTATCAAATGTGTATTTTCATTGCAGCGTGTCCTGGAGAGAATGACGCACCACGTGACAACTCTGCTTTAACTTTAACTTCCATTTTTTTGCCTTCATGCAATTGTACAAATACAGTAAATAAATCTGCTTTTTGGCTCCGAGTTCACCTGCATCACTGTCTGTTCATATCCATCACAGGCTGAAGTTTGCTGGAGCTGAATGTCCTTAATGGCCTTTTCTTTCACTGTCTTATTACTTATACAAGTTTTTGCAGCATTGAAAAACATTAATGTTTTTCCTCCTACCGAAAACCACATTGAAACTAGAAATAAAATATAGCCCTCACACTCCATTTTCAGACATTTTTGAAAAGGCTCCAGGAGCCACTTTAGGGGCACTAAAGGTTGCCGACCCCTGGTTTATACAGTATGTGGAAGCAAATACTGTAGAGGATCAGGATGTCTGCAGTTTCATCAATAAAATAAAGTACAATAGTCTACATTAAACAGAGTAATAAACATGTCTCAGAGTGAGGGAGGTGAAACAGACAACACTATTGTTTGTTACAGGGATGAGAATTGGTAAACATTTCTGAAATGCATATTGTCAGCCATTTGCTGGCTCTAAATCTGTTTAATCTGTTCACAACATTTTACTTTTGGGCTCAAACATGAACTTTTTATGCAATGTAAAATGTAGGTACCCGAGCTTTAATTTAGAGGAGAGGGGAGACGCGGACTGTTTCCTGCAGCGGTGTATTTATTGGGTGCACAAATTACGAAAAGACATGCATGGTCCTGTGCGCGTTTATGGTCTTGGGTACATGGTCACGTTGCGGCTACGCGCTCACCGTGTTGTGTTGTGAGCGGTTCCCGGTGAGCGGTTCCTGCGTCCAGCTCAGAGCCGCTGGATGCGGGAACACTGCGGCCGCTGAGGTGGTGGAATCCCGTTCGAGTACATACAGCAGGTGCCCCGCGGACACGCGCCCTCCCCTCACACAGTTCTCAACGGATTTACACTTTTCACAAACATGTTTTTTGTATGAGGCAAACAGACCTGCCCAAATATGGGCATCGGCCCTTCGGGCATTGCCCGGTACGCCCGATGGCCAGTCCAGCCCTGTTAGATTCTAATATATAAATAATTAACAATCTTGACTATTTTATGCAAGAACCTGCTAGACCTATATTGAAATTCACACAACAAATTATAGCGCAATATATACCGTCTACCGTCTGTGTCCCAAATTATACCGCAATATGAATTTTAGGCCATATCGCCCACCCCTAGCAGTGCACATGATAATTACTTTTCAGTATGTTATTGGGGCACATACTTCTTTTAGTTGTTGTGGGGACTATGTTCATCCAGTCAGCACATTGATGTAATAATAATAAATCTGTTCTATATAGTGCTTTTTTGGGCACTCAAAGACGCTTCACATGTTATAATTATCTCACTCTATACACGGTGGTGATAAACTACTACTCTAGCCACAGCGTGGCAGAGAGACACAAGCCAAGAAACCAGTTTGAGCCAAAAGCCCCTCCGACCACCACGGACCATTCACACACACACACACACACAAGACTAGGCAATGTGGGTGAAGTGTCTTGCCTAAGGACACGACAACAGTTTGGCACTTTACAGCCGCAGCCACCCCAATGTAAATGTAAATCTGGCTTTCACATGCAGGTATGGCCACATAATGTAGTAACGTCAACAGGGTCTTTGTAAACGGTAGAACTCTGAGCATGGTGATTCAGAGAACAAGTTCAGGTACCCAATGCACAGGAGTGACTTAATTCCACACTATTGGCCCGTGTAAAACTTAGGGGCATCAATCTGGGGCAGGGCACTGTACAGTACAACCCAGCTCTTGAGGGAGGGGCTTAGGTGACAGCTGAGGAATGTCTGCTGTCTCTCTTTGCCATGGTTTCCAGCGACTGTCATGTGAGGAATGCAAAAGCTATACGACGACTGGATCTGGAATGCTACCCACCGAGACAAGTTTAGCCACCGGGTTCTCCACCAGTCATCTAGAACAGATATTGCGGGACTTCGGACACCTTAAGAATGTTGACCAGGAACCAGCAGATTTTAAGTTTGAACAAAGCTAACACTTTGATTTAAGAGCTCCCCTTCAGCTCTTCAAACTGGTACTTTTATCATTATTTATAAATAGATTCTAATACATGTGTCAATTAACATGATTAATTATATTGAAATTGCGACCTATCAATGTTTGGCACAACCCTATCGGGTTTGAATTTTTTTTAAACTATATGTAAAACAGTTAATCAGTAATACATCATTTTTGATTTGACAGAACGTGACTCACAAAACAGCCACTAGCATAAATGTGAGATTATGACAAGCCCACTACAAAGTCCAGACTCTGAGTCATACCCAAACATAGCATCGTCCTCTTAAAATACAGTTTAGATTAACTTGGCAGTAACAATAACATTTGTACACTGGTCTAGTATTTCAGTTTGGTTAACAAAGATATTCTTTAAAAAAAATGCAAATAAAAGCAATTACAATGCAAGCTGCACAATTTTATATTTTGAATGTAGAGTTAATGTTGGGTGTATTGGTACGGGTTTAATTAAATTGACAGCAAAAAAATGAAAGCACAACCATATTTGATGCACTCAAGCCCTTTATAAACATGCACATCTACCCGTAGTGTTAGCCATTTGTACACTGCGCTCTTCTCCCATCCAGAGAATATCCTTCCAGGACCCTAGTGTAAACTCTGGCTAACATTCGAACGGCCGCCTTATCATACAGAGAACGTCCACTCAAAGAGGTGGGTTATGCAGATTTGGTCACATGGCCAAAGCGAATTGTGGCGTCATGGAGAGGTGAAAGAGCTGCTGCCTGTCTGTGCAGTTGATGAGATTGTACGACAGTTATTTTGGTCTGACGAGTAGCTTTGGCCCCAACCCAGTGCGCGCAGGTGCAGTGGGCAAGGTCCAGTCTGTTACAAGATACAATCAAGCTTGCAAGTGAAGCAAGCCTTGCAACCTACTGCACAAGTACTATTGCACCAAATCATTTGTGCAGTCTGCTTGTGGGAGGAACAGTGTGCGTTTACACTGTATACAAATCATAGAAAGACTGTAATACAGAAATACAGACGGCCATTGCATAAATAAAATTAAATGCATGATGGCATCACTGCAACAACTGTTGACCCCCCCAAACATAAAGATCCCAATCGCGCAGAGAACCTCACATTTGGACCTGTTTGCTTGATTTTTTCTGTCAGTATTAATACTTTCTCAAATTATAGTTACTACTAGATACTATGTTTAGTTTAGAACCCTAATAAAGTTCTGGCGGCCACCCGGACTTTCTACTGACCTGTTTTTAAATAAACGAGACAGAGTCTCTTCTGCTCTCGAGGCATTGAGGTTTGTACAGAAAAGTCCAGGTTAGATGCAGATGGGGCAGGTGAAGATTCTCTGTTCGTAAAGGGCTTCAGTTTACAAGATCAGGCATGTTAGTACTAGTGAGAAAGAGGTGACATAATTCAAGATTTTATATGTGTTTGTTTTTATCCCCAGACGGATGCTTGATTCTGATTAATGTTAGAATACTGTGGTTTAAGAGTATGAAATAACTCCTCAACTAGATACAACTTAAATAATGTACTAGTCTCCGTAGTTGAGAAAACACTACATCAGATCAACTGGTTTGTAGCATTGCAAATATTATCAAGAGAGTAATTATGAATGATTTTAACACTTGAAAGCCAGTTATAATCAACTTTCATTAGTCAATAGGAAAGCAGTTTTATTTTGCATTACTGTTACAGGCCTGGTAGTTTATTTTGTTGTGGTATTAGTGGTTTACTGCAATAATAAAAGGGATTTATTTCTGTTCTGGTGGTGATTTGCTCAGAAGGTAAAAGGGGCCGACACAGCCAACAGCTATTAGCCATTAGCTAGGTTATCTCTCGCATACTGTAAGAAAACACGATAATGGACACAAATTACAACAGCTGTGGTGTCAGATAGCGAGTCTAACGATAACGTCAAAACTCATAAAATGAGAAGAATCACATTAGCTTACAAAATATATAGAAAAACATGCACCAACTCACTAACTCAATACCCCAATAGAATAGGCTAGCAACAGCTAGCATAGCTCGTTTGCTTCTCTAGCTCACAAGTAGCAAACACGAAACATCCCGGATTCATTCAGCATTACTGACAACATCGAAAATGAACCGTCAATAGATTCACGATACACCAACTCTTAATCATGTGTATAAGATAATGGCATCGAAAGCTGTACAGGCAACTGGGTGACGGAAGATTTAACAATACAACTTCCTAGTCCATAGCTAGCCATGGTGGAGGAAGATACTGGTTACTGCCTCGAATAAGATACAAGATAAACTACATACATTAGACTGGCATTGCCTGTCATAAATCGATCCACCTGTGTGTCTTCAATGCTCTTAAAAACATGATCTATCGAATCATAAATGTACCAGTAGTTAAAAAGTCAACACACTGGGAAACACAGTGTTCTTTGCTGCTACTGTAGTTTGGAAACAGTACTACTCCGTACCAAGCCATGAAATACATAGAAAGGTACACATTCATGTTCGTTGTGTTGGCTTTGTTTTCCCAAAATGACACACACGTGATCATTGGGCAGTATTCAGGTAAAGCTTGGGAACCATCTTGAACAGACTAGAGGCTTTAGTCGGTAGGTAAACAAGAGGAGGCGAATGGCTTCCATTTGACAGGTGCTATGGAGCAGTCACTTGTGCTGAGGGTGAAACGAGTGATTTTTACATCCATGGAAGAGAACCAACCTGGTGGAGTGCGGTGAGGCCGTCTACATTAGCGTAGTTGATGTCAGCGCCCCGGTCCAGCAGACGAAGCACCTCCTCGGTATCTCCGCTGGAGCAGGCAGCCAGAAACACGGCGCCATCATCGAACTTCACCTTCGTCTTTTTCTTTTTCAGAACAGGAGGCTCTAAGTCCGTCTCTGAGCCTAGCCATCGCTTTAACTGCTCATTCCTCTTCTGCTTAGCGTCCGACATCTTCATCCCCCTCCTGGCTCGAAGTTCTTATCTTTCTCCGAGAGAGGATATACTTTATAGTGCCACTATCCCACAGCGCACTGGGGCGTGGGAAGGGAGGGCAGGCGAGGAGGGGGTATCTGCGAGCCAAGGCACAGAGCGTCTGGATCATACGACAAAGTCTCGCGATAACTGCATCCTAGCAGCTGCAGCATAACGTCACCATGGGCAGATTAGGAGAGAGGGTGATCCTGCACACACCAGCACCAAATAAGACATGGGCCCTTCAAACATTATGTAACATCTAACTTACCAGTAGTTCGCACAAAGAGAGCGAGGAACATCTCACATCTATGGGGCCAATAATATGGGCCAATAAAAATAAATAGGCCTCAAACATACTTTCTGATACTGATTTAGCTGTAACAAAAGTATAATCATGTATTTTTTCTTCTGGGCCCTCAACTCAAAGAAGGGTCTTAAAGTTGACTTAACATCATTCTTTCACTCTGTCTACAACGGTGTTAAACTAGCTGACAGATAAGTCTCCCATGAAATCTTGTGTGTGTGTGTTGTGGTGTGTGTATGTGTATGTGTATGTGTGTGTGTGTGTGTGTGTGTGTGTGTGTGTGTGTGTGTGTCCTTTCGCACACAAAAAAGAAAGGAAATCCATGAAAATAATTAGAGAATTCATTGATGCTTTTATTTTTGCTATTTATGTTTTTATAATCTTCAAACAAACACAGCTCTCTTCAGAAGACAAGGGAAAAGGATTCCTATAAAATGCAATCACTGGTCTCTCTAATTAACAGTGTGTAAATACAAAACAACAGTGATCTTTCTTGGCACAGGGAATGTCTGTCAGGTGATACGATGCAGACAACAGCAGCTGAGAGACTAGTTCATCAGGACTACTGCAGCTAGTTGATTCTCTTTTGACTGTGCCCGTCGTCGCACCCAGCCCATTAATAAAGGTGTTGGATTGGGTGAACCAAAAGCAAATGCTTTAAGCAGTATTTCAGCTGTGTCAATTATGGCCTCATCGCAAGCAGCAGACTTATGGGATGTTGAAGGAGCGGCAAAGAGTGTTTGAATGACCTTGTTTCTTCAAAGAAGATGGCTAATTATAGGACAGATCTGGAGCTGGGGTCTGTAATGTGTTGGAGTTTAATGCAGCCATGATTCACATAAGCTGAGATAGCAATGGAAAAAGCATTGTCAGTAGTTTATGATGAAAATGAATTAACTTTCCAGAGCTCATGTTGTCCTTTTTTATTGCAATGACTTTAGGCCAAAGAACAGTCTGGGGGGACAAAAAAATATGATATGCTGATACCTTTAAAATAATGCAAATAATAAAAGGTTTGTGACAGGGGAAATGTTTAGAAAAGTTCAACTTTCTCTTTCTTTGAATATACACAAAGACTGATAATAAAGTAGAGAACATTATCAAACAATCTCAAAATTCAATTATATTAAATTATAACAAAGTTTATACGAAATCAATAGTTTCCGAAACAAATCAAAGCATATAGCTCCATAAAATATATCCAAGTATGGGAAAAAAACAAGGGAAAACAATGAAAAAGATTGTAATATATTTTAGATGTATGATACTTTTAGGAACCTGCTCACACTCTGTACAGACATGTCTCTTTTGAAATGTGTTTGAGATTTTGAATTGCATTTATGTTTCTAGAGGATCAGGAAGTCCAGTGCCCCGGGACTGCCCTCCTGCTGGTGTCCAGAGACAGGACTCCTGATGTAGTCAGCTAAAAGCTGCAATAGTCTCCCAGAGAATGTGAGACAGGCTACTACTCTGACAATGTTCAAATCCAGTTTTAAACGTTCTCTTTAGCATTGCATACAACTTATTGATGTACTACAATTTCACTTGTTTTATGATTTTAATATTTCCCTATGATGTCTCTTTACAAATTCACTTGCCTTCATATCTAAACTACTATAACGACTTATCCTTATGGAAAATAGATTGCCATTGTGTGTTTCCATGTTCACTGCAGGGCTTCTCCACTGCACAAAGAAAAACATCAAGGAGGACGGAGAAAGTCCACGACATCATCTCTTCAGACCTTTTATGGAGCTCTCCAGTGGAGGGCTCAGAGCACTGGCCCACTTTCCCATCGGCGCTTCCCACCAACACAGTCCTCACTCCCCAAGAGAACAGAATCACACATAAGGGCAATACATTACGTACCGAAGCTCACAGTGTAATCAGACGGTGACAAGCAGTACTTACAACAGAGCCCGGGTTAAGTATCAGTACTGAGGAGCAAAATAAATACAACAATATCATTAAAGATATATGATCACATTAAAATGAAAACCCATATGATAGATGTCACTGTGCTCCTCTGACCACACATCTCTGGTGGTTCCAAGAGCTTGGTATGAGATGGGGTGAAGTTTTGACAAATATACTTAAACTTACTGCAATGTGTGGCTGTATTTGACGTTTTTGCCTTGTTGGAAAAAAAGTATTCGTTGATTGATTGAAGTCTATGGCATTTTCTGACTGGAGGTAGTTATCAGAACAACTACATCAGAGCTTTTATTGCGCGCTAATTGAGATATTTTGGTCCTTCAGCTATTGTCATCTGACTCTCTATTTTTTGAAAAAGGGATTCCATTTTATAACTTTCTCGTTCTATTGTCACAAACTGTGGTGAAATCATTAATATTGCCTGGTGGTTCTGTCAGACCAAGAAAATCAAAGTAAAAATACTTGTGCAAAACTGTATAAACACGCTTTAACTGGAACTGAAGATGGGGTGGAATGTAATAAATATCAGCAGTCATCATGTCTGCCACAAATCAGATTGCAAGACAGAAAGAATCTAATGGGAAATATGAAAAGGTGCATCAACAAAATCTATAGAGCATGAACGCGTTTAGTCGGTAATCAGAGTTAAGCGACGGAAGAAGAGCTGATGTGATCTATGAATTGTGGCAGTGAGTTCATCAAAAGCAGAGGAGTGAAATTAATGAAGAAATGTTACTGCTTAAGTGACAGCATAGGCAAACAGCGAGAAAAAATCTAAGTCGGTAGGGTAGCACATCTTCAGGAATAAAGTCAGTTTATTTATGCTCATTCACCTGTTAATTACACTTAATATGAATTGAGTTTCCTATTCACTATGATTATAATGCCATCAAAAAAAGATCAACCATTAAACAGAAAAAATACAGTTTTCATTCACGTTGGGACTGATTTTCTGAAGACTGCTTGCCACTACTTTTCACATTGCAACATGCAATGTAAGTATTGAACAAATAATTAGTCAAAAAATCTTCTTACGGCACAATAGGGGAAAACAAACACTGCTCCCTGGTGGCATAGCAACTTATACAGATAAGCATTCTAGAAGTATGGTCTGGCTCTTTTCACAGTCACTTACATTAACTGCCCAGTGCTCTAGTTTTCAAGTCTATTAATACAGTTTCATGCAGAAATTAAAATGTGATGGTGGGTATGATGCATAAGTGAGGCTAAATTATCCCAAGGCCCCAACTGACAAAGCATTGGACAGCTGAAGGGATCATTGCTATGAGGAAAACACATGCTAAAATAGCCAAATTAATGGAAGGAGCTCAAGTCCAGACCTATAACAAGCTTCAATTCAGGACAGATATATTACTGCTGCCTATCTTTTTTACTTTGAAATTACAGCAGACGTACCTAATATGACTGACACTGAATCTATTTATTACGTACCATTGTATGCACTTACATATGCAGTTTTATTCTGTTTTATAGTGTAAGGTGGGGTGACCAGCAAAGTTACCTAGTTAGATCTGCAGATATGCACTATAAATGATGACAAGATAAAAGTATTTATGGCTTTGTCCTTAGGGATATAAAAGGTAAGATCTGCTGCCTTGAACGATTGGTCTCTTGTCTTGGAGATTCATCACTGTTTCTAAGGGAAGACTCTTTTTCTGCTTCACAAGCTCAAAGAGTTTTCCCCGTTACCATGGCATCCACACTTGTGTATACCTTACAGAACCTGTTAAACGCCTACTGGATTTAACAGATCTTCTTTTTGCTGCTCAGGGAAACTTGAATTACCCACAACACTTTTTCAACCAGTGCAAGGCCTATTATGGTCAAATAAGACGTTGCAGCCGCCCCAGGAAGAGCATCTCCTCCCCTGTAAATCTGAAAGCGTTGTCTCATGCTCAGAGTGCTGTGACAAGACAAGGTCGAGGGGTCATGCCTCCAGGTGATGTGTTTCCATAGGACTGAGAAAAGGAAATGCACATATATGGTGTGGTCATTATTTACTACCTACTGTTTGATTGGACGGCCTGAAACTCTCTTTTGAGCACAGCAAACCCCCCCATAACAAGACCCCAATATTAGGAAGACATCGTATATTGTTAAATAGATGTGTTTTGGGTTTTTAGTGGGCAAATTGCAAGAATGTACGTACAATAACTAAACAGAAATAAGATAGATCACCTGAAGCGTAAGATGATTTTAGTGACATCATCAGTAGTTAAAATAGGTTAGTAAATAAAATAAAAAAACTTGACTTGATTTACATTGACTCAAACTAATTTTGAGGATCAGGGTGCTCATATGCCTGACATTATTATTATGTAATTTATTTGAATGGAAAATGTGCATTAAGGAACATATTCTGTAAATAAATTGGATTGTTGGACTAATTTCTATCTGTTGTCCCACAGTCATTCTCCCAGCTTTAGTGGTAGGGGTAACTGAAGCACCCGAAGGAAACCTGGGCAGACACATGGAGAACATGCAAACTCCACACAGAAAGGCCCCAGCCCATCTGACCCAGGAATCGACCTTCTTGCTTTGAAGCACACACCCTGACGGCTCTACCATCCATCCATCGTCTACTCCTTTTCTGGGATCAGGGGGGGGCTGCACCAACAGCAGCGAGGCTCTACCATCACGCTGTATTAATATGATGTTTTTAAATAAATACCCAAATAAATAAATAAAGAAAGTCATTATATGAGTTTGACGTAATGCGCCT